CTTAGCAACATGAGTCCCTACTTTACTTGATAACTGAGATTCTTTACTGAATTCTTTATGTAGCTCTTCCCTTGAAACATCTATTAAGTTCAGGAATTAAAGCATGCTGTAGGAAACGCAAAATGCACTGATCATTTTAATAGACATAACAGAATGAATTTTCTTCATTTTTAGTCTCTTGGCAAAAAGTGTTAAAGCAAACTAAAAGATAAAACTTGTAAACATAGTAATGGTATTTGCCTATTTTTACAAGCTTACGTGAAAGTTTAAATGCTTTGAAATAGTTTTAATGGATATTTTTGACTTACTTTATACTTTTATGTTTAATCTGTTTAATTCTAAAAATTGTCATTGTTTTAAAGATTGCCTTACTGTTATGATTATTTTGTTCCTCCTTTTTTTTTTTTTTTAACCTATATCACTTCTTCCAAAGTTCAAATTTGGTTAGTTTGTGCTCACACATTAGGCTAGTTCAAGGCCTGACGGATTGTGGATACTCACGGAAACCGTAGACAATTCATTTAACTACACTGGTGCCAGTTTAATTAGCTGTGAAGGAATATTTTGCCGATGATCTCTTAGGAGAGCGATTTAAAAATTGGGGTCGGGGTGGCAGGAGAAAAGGATGACTTTCAAATTACACTCCACACACACTCTGTTGATCATTACATATAATGAGAGATGTTACTAAGAGGCATATATTACGCATGATTTGAAAAGAAATGTCAGAATTATATAGTAGTCCGTATTACTTTAAGGATTTGTGTTTGCAATCTACCCATTTTATTCCTTCTCAACAAAGATAAATGACTCATTAAAAAATTTTTTTTTGTTTTATTGTGGTGAAAATATACACAACAAACATACAGCAGTTCAACAATTCCTATGTGTACGTTGTTGTTACGTGCCATCAAGTCAGTTACTACTCATAGTGACCCTGTGTACAACAGAACGAAATGCTGCCTGGTCCAGCGCCATCCTCACATCGTTGCCATGTTTGAGCCCATTGTTGCAGCCACCGTGTCAGTCCATCTCACTGAGGGTCTTCTTCATTTTCGCTGACCGTCTACTTTATCTATGACCCTCTACTTTATGCGTATAATTCAGTGCAAATGACTCATTTTTACAAAACTAAGTCCACTTTTGGTCCTATTGTGTCCTGATAAAAGGGGCAAAAGTCCTTTAAAATGAAGTTGAGATAGGTCAATAGTCATGACTTGTACTCACTGATGTAGGTTTTCTTCATTTTTATTCAAAAGGTAATATTGCCTTTATACTAAGCAGAAGAGTTATTTCTGACTACCTCAAACAGAAAGGGAAGTTTTATTTTTAACCTTCATTCTGATAACATAGCTGTTTCACACATTAACTTGTTTGTGTATGTGAGTATATGCATATGTTATACATATATGTGTGTCTATGGTGATAGCAACAATGTGAGGATGGCGCAGGACGGGGCAGTGTTTTGTTCTGTTGTACAGAGTTTCGCTATGAGCCAGAACTGACTCATGCTACCTAACAACAGCATGGTGATCTGCTTCCCAAAGGTCACAGCCTTGAAAACCCTATGGAGCAGTTCTACTCTGCACACATGGGGTTGCCATGAGTCAGAATCGTCTTGACAGCAGCTACCAACAACATTATATATATATGTAGAACATAAAACATCACTAGTTATTTGACCAATAAAAACAATGCAGGCATTGCAGAGTAAGCTTTGTGGTTTTTTTTTTTTTTTTTTAAATCCCACTTAACTTTATTCTAATCAAAGAAAAATATTTTAAGCCATCTATTTTCTGTATCCCTGGCTGCTGTTATCTTGACTGTAATTGTCTCGTTTCCTTTCTGGGTGATCTATTGCTAGTATTTATCTGGATGTTATTAAAGAATCTAAGTACCCCATAGAGCACCATAGTCTCAGCTGGAATACTTTCTGATCCTAGGCTAAAATGAAATAGAACTGTTGCTTTGGCTGTTAAATAAGTAGCTCAGATTTGCTGTCAGAATGCGTCAGAAACTTTGAATTCGTTATGCTAGTTGTCCCTGCAAGGTGGCATTTGAAAGATAGCTTTGACTGTTTATGGATTGTGGTCCTTGGGCACCAGATAGTGGATGTTGGAATGTATTGCAGAAAAGCTGATGAAAGTGCACGATCTCTAAGAATAAGAGTAGGAAGTCATTTGTAGTACCTGTGTCTGACTCTGTTGGATGCACTTACATATTTGCTTTCGAAAGCTTTGGTTTATTATCAGTTTATCCAGTAGGGAATAACATTCTTGCAAAAATGCACCTTTTGGTGAAAACATCAATAATCTATGCTTTATGAGAAGTTTATGTAGGTGGACTGATTTGAACTTTGGGGATCCCAAATACTTTGTTTGCAGTTTTAATACCTAGCAGATTAGAGTCATGTTTCACTCTGACTTAAATTTCAATAGTAGCTACTTTTAGTTCATAATCTTAATGTGTTTTTAAGGTATATCAGTGAATTTATACTTACTCCAAAATGTAAACTATGTCAGAATTCATTGTTTTCTTTTTTCTTCCTCCTTCTCTCCCTCACTTCCTTCATTTCTCTCTCTCTCTCTCTTTCTTTTTTTTTGGGGGGTGGGGTGAAGGGGTACCTTCCTCTCCAACAAAAAAGCTCATTAAGATAGAGTATGGAAATACTTTATGTAATTACAAACTTATAGATCTTTAAATATATCTCACACTCTTAATTGTTCAAGTATTTCAGTATTTCATCATTGCTTTCAAAGTGAAGTTCAAACTTCTCACCTTAGAGAGCTGTGCATGATCTTTCCGTTTCTTGTCTGCCTCATGCTCACCCATTCCCCTGCAAGTGTCCTTTGCTTCAGGTTTACATAGCCACTCTTTTCTGTTCTCATTTCTTTTACTCTGGTTGCTTCCTTCTCCCTCACGCTTCTTCACCTGAGGAGCACCTGTTCCTTCAAGACTCTGCTCAAGTTTTTCCTATTCTAGGAAGCCTTCCTTGAACCTTGACTACCCTGCCTCTTGTTAACCACATTTAGACTAGCCTGTGAGCTCTTATAGCACACTTTCATAAGATTTTTTTCATTTTCTACGGTAATCATTTGTTTACTTGTCTGTTTCCTTTAAGAGACTAATATCCTTTGGGGTCAGAGATGATAGATAGTGCCTTTTTTGGTTTGACTCTGACACTTAGACTTTTCAAATGACTATTTGGTGACTGATTGAGTGAATGACTTTTGTATATGTGTCCATAGTTTGATTTGCTTTGATCTTAATTCTTAAGGTATTTGAGGATGAGTTACACCATTTTCCTCACAAAGAGCTTTTTAAATAGACTCTAACTGCCCTATTGCTACCTAAAATGTTTATTAAAGGTAGGCCTTTAACTTTGGGAAGTAAGAGCCTTACTGGCTAGAGGATATAATAATATGGATTTTACACTGTCAATCAATTAGGTAAAGCATCTGAAATGTCATTTATGGGAAATTTGAAAGACCAACTGCTATGATCATGAAATCATGCATTCTAACTTATCAATATATATTTTGAACCTGTGACTTTATTAGTATACAAAATTCTGTTAGAAGAGAATAGCTATTTGAAAGCTTTCTCCTTATTGGAAAATATCTGGTTTGTTACAGTTTCTAGATCTTAATTTAATCTTAATCTAAGAGGCAAGACAAAGTTTGAGCTAAAAGAACATTTACTAATGATGGGTTATAGTAAATAACTGAAACATGTGTTTGGTGGTCCTGACGTGTCCTTCTAGTATTTGCATCGGTATTCTGCATTCTATACCAAAAAAGAAATAAAATGCAATGGTAATACTTTAAAAATAATATAAGCTAGTTTCATAATAGAATTATAACATTTTAATTTAATTTAAAATTTTATTTCTTACACATATACTTTGTATTTACTTGCATATAATTATTTGCTAAGACATTTTGTGTGATTATTTCTTTAATTTTATAGCAAACTGAGTCAGCATATTACAGCTGAATCATAGTCCTGGCTGTTCTTTTTATTTATTGAGTGAACTAACGCTATATTATTAAAATTTCTTGTCCTTCAATTGAGCTTGCAAAAGAAACTTGTTTGTTAGATCTTGACCACCCCAACATATTTGCTATTGAAGATTTTTAATTATGTTTCTATTTTCAGTCTGTTATAGATTTAAAAACCCACTGTGAAAAAATAGAATGGAGAAAAATTACCTGCATCTCAGTAGTTTGGTATCTGCTCATTCTCAGAGACCCCATCCTCCTTTAAAAAAAAATTTTTAATATTTATTATTGGTTAAAATTTGATACTGAATTTGTAGAGTATAAGAGATTACAGCACTTTAGAATATTACTGTCATTTAAGAATGTGTTCATTGTTTTGGGTTTTGGGGCGCTGTCTCCAAGAGGTTCATAGCATTTGGTACGTAGTTCACGTATTTCTAGTCTACAGACCTACACTATAGAGGCAAAGGCTTCGTGGTTCTGATATTTGCATTTTCTACTGCTATAAAGCTCAACAATGACAATGTTTTTTTAAAAAAACTTTCCATGCCATTACAAATAAAACAGAGTGTTTTGAAGACTAGTAATTTGTACCTTTAAAGAGCCAGATTATTTTGCTTTTGTCTCAGAATGTATTATGCTTCACAAGTATACTGTGACAGCCTGAATAAAAAAGGGGGGAGGGGACATTGTCTTCAGCTGGCATGCTGTTATCAGAGGGAATGTGTTTCTGGACACGAGATTTAGCATTCATTGGTTGTCTGAAGAAAGCTATTTCATCTGAGGATTGGACAAGAAGCTGCGTCAATTTGCTGCCCGTCTCCAAGGCACTGGTGATGCTGCCTTCACAAGCTGGCTAACGTCACGGCTCCATCACCCAGCGGGGTGTGGACTCTCTTTTTCTGTTCTTCTCTATTTAATTCTCTATTTGCTGCCGACTGCATTTCTTAATCTGTCTTCTGCCAAATGCTAACAGCATGATATTTTGCAATCATCTAGGTGAATACAAGAAAGACGAACTCCTAGAAGCTGCTAGGTAAGTAATTCCATTCATTTTAAGTGAGTATAATGCATTTAAGAGAGAAGGGAGGGACGGCGAGTGGAGGACTATAAAAATTATAGCATGTTATTGTCTTGCTTGGATTTTATGTGATAATGTGGAGAAAACCTTATACAAAATCTTTGTGTACTTTTTTTTACATGATTAGTATATTTAATGATAAAATCTTTCAATATAGTGATGATTGTAAGGTTCATTTTACTGGAAACATTTCTTAAGGTGCCCAGCTTTTCGAATGATATTGTTGGAGTATTTAAATGCCAATGTCTTCATTTCTCTCTAAAAATTTTCCTAGCAAAGCTTGAATGAGGGGCATAAAGTAAATGTTAACATTCTCATCTGTTTTCTTTTGTTCTTCGTCATTTATAATTTAATTGATTAGCTCTTTATGGCATCTTGTAGGTATTTTTCACTCCAGTGTTTTAGATCACTTGTCAGAATAAAGTTTGTTTATAATTAAGAAGGTGACTTTATGAAGATAAATTAAACAAATAATGTAAAAGCTACATTATCCAAGACGTACCACCATATAATGATTAAGATGAATTAATTAGAAATAAACTAATCCAGTTTAATATAGCTAAAGAGACTCAATGAGATCCATATAAAAGATTATCAAAGCAACAAGATTATCTTCCAGTCTTGTGAAAAAATGCCCATGTATGTTCATAAGAACATCTATAATTTATAGGAATTGACTTATTACCTTTTATAGGAGTGGTAATGAAGACAAACTAATGGCGTTACTGACTCCTCTCAATGTGAATTGCCATGCAAGTGATGGACGAAAGGTAAGTTATTTAAAATATGATATCCCCTTCCCTAATTTCTTTTTAATTTTCATTTAATTTTTTTTGAGTTGGCATATATGTGTACACACACACATATATATGCCTATATTTTTACTGGCATCTTTTCACTGCAAAATGAAATCCTGCTGTATCTGTTATTGGCAGTTGTGACATATTCATAGAGCTACTGAAGCATGGATCTCAAGCAAGCCTTTTCTCTTATATGTCAGACACTGAAAGTTGTTTGTGAAATGGAACTGCAGCTCTGTCATTAATTAATATTATAACAACATATATTATTTTCTGCATATGATGATGGAAATTGGAAATATTTATGTTCTATTTACCCATCATGGTTGGAATATTCGCGGTTTTTTGATTTCTTATTTGGAAGATTTATTTGCTAGATGCCAACACTTTTCCACTTAAAGCTGAGAAAATGTTCATGATTTTAGATGTAACAGCCCTGCTTTTTTGTTTGCTGTTGTTTTTATTGGCTATGTTTTTGTGGTATATTAAAAGAAAACAGATTAAAGCAAAGAGCAATATTCTGCGTGAATATACAGCTGTCATGATGTAAGGTAATATGTAAAATGTACAGCTGGCAGCTTCATTATCTGCTGCGTTTTCTTGCTGGATATAAACTGAAATGTAATCCTTTATAGTCTTTGGTGATTGACTGCAAAGTTTTGCAGTGATTTACCTAATAGACATTGAAAACTAAAGCACTCTGTACTGTAAAGGCTTTTTGTAAATGACAGTTAGTTTTGAATGTTAGAGAATGGCTTTTATATCTTAAAAACCTAAAATATTTTCAGAGATACACTGCAAATATTGAGGAAAAGAACTCTGTGCCTAATGTTTAAAGAATGAGCGCTTTTGAAATTATTTATAGTGGAAATGTGATATGGCAAATATCAAGGACTGGTTCCCACTTAGAAGTAATAAACTGTTTTGCCTTTTAAAAAATCACTTTTCTGAAAGTAGTGATTTTATAGATTAAAATTACTTGATTTTCCTTAATTGCCTCCCCACTTTTTTCTACGCTGATGAAATCCATTTAATAGCAGCAAGGAATCGAATCCCTCAAAACATAATATAGGTTATTTGTTATTGTAGATGGCTCGTATATTATGTCAGATGGTCCAATAAGTGTTCAGTTACACCAGATAATTTGAGGAGAGACTTCTGTTTTCATGGAAGATTAAATCATGTATATCAAGCTATAAACTAGCAAAGATTTACTCAGTACTCTTACTGACTTTTGGGAGTTGTTTGAAAATAACTAGTCATTTTTCCTTCAATTTTGAAGTTGCTTTTGGAATTTTAACACTTTTGTGTGTACTTTGAGCTCCAGATTCTGTTTGGATCCCCTCAAAAGATAAAGTGACCTCTATCACTGTGTAGAAAAGGGCCTTCTTAGCTGTGGTAAGTGCGGCTATGTCTTTTAAGCTTAGGTCTTTTAGAGCCCAGCCTGCTTCAGTTTTCCACAGCCATTTTAATACTGCGGAGTTTATGTGAAATTACTATAGCATAGTCTATTTCCATACCAGCCTTATTCTTCCATCCTTACCCATATAACTTGACAGTGCCATTCCTAGTGCAGTAAATCCTAGTAAATAAGGAGCATGAACACTAATACTTAACAAATTATCCTCTTCTCCCTGCCTCACCCTCTGCACAAATGTATAGAACTCCTTTATTTTTTCTTCTTCCTTCTTTACTTTAGCTGGAACCAGTATATTCCTCATCCAGATTCCTATGGCTTCTTGTCTGTACTACTCTCATGACATTTACCACAGGGTTCCTTGAATTGTAGTTGTTCACACATGTGTTTTTCTTAGGCTTTTCTGTTAGCTCCCTTTGTATTTTGCACAAGACCAGTCCTGGCACTTTGCATGTAGCAGAAGCTGAAGATGCAAATAATGTTCCCTGGTAAACATAATTGTATCCTCTGAGTGAGAAAAATTCTTTGCCATTTAGAATACTAAGTCAGAAATATGTTAATGGTGGATTTTATATTTTCTATTGTTATTATTCTAGTATCAATCGATTTACTTATTTTTGGGTAATTGTATCATGAAGGTTTGGTTAAGCTTTTGTCTGCTAACCAAAAGGTTGGAGGTTCAAATCCACCAGGTGCTCCTTGGAAACCCTATGGGGCAGTTCAGCTCTTTTCTATAGGGTCACTATGAGTCGGAATCGACTCGCCGGCAATGAATTTGAGTTTTTTTTTATTATTTTTTATACCATACGGAGAACTATATATTTTAATGTGCAGAACATTTTAAAGAACATGCCTCAAATATTATTATAATACTCAAGGATTCACAAAATATAAATAATCCAATAATTCTCTAAAATGTGGTCTTATAGTTTTTTAGAGTTACCAGTTTTCTCAAATTAGATAGAAAAAGAAAATTAGACTTAAGCATTTATGCGGTTTTCGTGCTGCACATTTAACATAGAAAATCATTCACGATTGTCATCTGTATGCAAAATACAAATATAATTTCATATTAAAATTGAATAATGTTTGCATTTAGATATTATCCTAGCTTGTGTCACAGAATAATTCATATTAAATACACCAGTTGCAGTAAAGCCACCGAGTGATAAATATTCTGGGTGCTGGGGGATTGAGGCAAGATCCCTTAATTATGACAGTATTTTTTGTTTTCTTTATGTTAGTGCCTTGAAAATGTGTTAGCAGATCTAGCTGTTAAAATACATGTCTCTTTCTTGGATATTTAGTATCTTTTCAGGCCATTTGCATGTGTTTAAAATTAGAAAGTCAGATTGTGTATTAATGAGAGGATAAAGGTACTTTTTCATATATAATAAGTCAAGTATACAGAGTTGTATTTCTTTAATTTGCATTTAGAATATAGTGTAGATTGAAGTCCTAATGAATAACTGAGACCTTGCCTGTCTCTGGTTTTACTATATTCCTGGTTTGTAAATTTAAAAAGCCCGTGGAAATGTCAGTTTTGTAATGTTTTCAGAAAAGAAATGTTATTTATACATTGACTGGTAGGTGGAAAATTTGCCTAGAGATATATGGGGGTTTTACACTTCATTGTTCCTTTTTAATGTAATACGTGGGCTTATATAATGATTTTGTAAATTTTAAATAATCTCTTAATTCTATACTGACTTGATGATTACCTAATTAGATAATATGTGAATGGTTGATTTTTTTATTTCTCACAGACATTTATTTTTTGTAACCAGTGGAATTCTGAAAATAGTGAAGCATCAGTAAGGTTTTACATACTTTATATTGTTATATTATGCTTTTACTACTTTACATGTATATGAAAGTTGGAGCTTGGCTACTCTAGAAATTCTCAGGTTTTTGTTTGTTTTCCAAGAAGACAAAGGCAGATATTATTTGGTAATGTTTTGCTTTAAAATGCTACTTTCATATAATAATATACATACTCAGTGATGGCCACTTCAGAAACATAGGGCCATAGATATAATTTACTTTTCTCCTCTCTCCTGCCCATTATGATTAGCCATCACATTCCACAATTCCTTGTTTTGAATTGCAGGGAAGTGCAGCCAGAACCTTAAAATACTGTTCCTTTTCTAGAATTCTTTCTTCTTGTTTTTTTCCTTAAGCTAGACCTGTTTTGTTGATCTTTAATCTACCTTTACAGTATTTTCTATCAAAATATGGCGTTTTATTAGCGATATATTCTCATCGTGTTTAATATTAAATTCAACATGTTGGTATCCTCTAGTTTTTGAACAAATAAAAATTCATTTTTACAACAAATAGAAACCAATATTTGACTATATCATAAATTACTCCATCACTCAGCCCTTTTGAGAGTTCTGTTTGGTTCCTCTCTGTGTTATTTCCTTTCCTGGCTGCCTTTGTCCCCTTCTAAAATAAATGTCCTAGGCTCAGCCCATCCTGATAATAACAACAGATAGTTTGGGGTGGAGGATTACAATGGTTCCTAAATAGGGATAATATGTATCTTTACATTCATCTACTGTACCTACTGTTGCTGTGATTATATGTCCCCAAATATTGAAAGTAACTGATATTTTGATTGGTGCTTTATTTGTATGATGCATTGTAATTTCTAACATTTCAAGTTATTTTCTGCCCCTCTAATTCATTCAATACTCAATATCTACTGTGTACAGGAGATAAAGAAACATGGTTAATGGTACCAGTTCACAAGAAGCTTAAAATTTGGTAGTTAAAATGATTAAACCATTATCCAGGACATCGAAGCTAATGCACTAAAAAGGTGTGATTCCTTTTCCTGTGATACAGTATAAAGGATACGTGGAAGATGAGTTTTTTGGTTTTTTCTTCTGGCCCATTTTTTCTTAAAGCATCAGTATTTAGACATGTATATCCGTCTGTAAGAAACTGCAAATTTAGATGAGCAGACAATTGGAGAAGTGTTATTTAAATTTGGAAAGATTAACTAAAAGATTTCTTTTTTATTTTATTTTATTTTTATTGTGCTTTAAGTGAAAGTTTGCAATTCAACTCAGTTTTTCATACAAAAATATATACACACGTTACTATGTGACCCTCGTTGCTCTCCCTATCCTGTGACAGCACACTCCTCCTTTCCAGCCCAGATTTCTCATGTCCATTCAACCAGCTTCTGTCCCGTTTTGCCTTCTCATCTCACCTCTGGACAGGATCTGTCCATTTAGTCTCATGTATCTACTTGAGCTAAGAAGCACTCTCTTCATGAGCATCATTTTATATCCCATAGTCCAGTCAAGTCTTTGTCTGAAGAGTTGACATCGGGAATGGTTTCAGTTTTGGGCTAATGGAGAGTCCGGAGGCCATGTCTTCCGGGGTCCCTCCAGTCTCAGTCAGACCATTACGTCTGGTCTTTTTACTAGAAGTTGAGTTCTGCGCCCCACTTTTTTCCTGCTCTGTCAGGGACTCCGTTGTGTTCCCTGTCAAGGCAGTCCTTGGTGGTAGCTGGGCACCATCCAGCTCTTCTGGTCTCAGG